CCTCTTCATTTGCAGAGGAAACAACAAGCGTGCCTGGAAAACACTGGGGGCTTACTTGTGCTACCTGCAAAGATCAGACAGTCTTTTAGGGAGATTAATAGTCTAATATCTGAGTGGGTCTCCACTCAGATGATTCCAGTCTCTACAGTTGCCTTCGGATCCTGTTCTCTTTGTGCATGCAAGATGTCAATTTCAGATGTCAATTTCAGTTCATACTTGCTAGTTCATCCAGCTTCTTTTTCTGTAGAAAAGAGTTGCAAAGGTCCTGAACTGAACTGGAATGGTTGATACAGGGTTGTATTTTTATGTTCCTGTTTTTTTAAAAAAAGAAATTATATATATATATATATATATATATATATATATGTATTTATTAGTTCTACATCCCAGATAGCTTCAGCGCTCCAACCAAGAATCTGTCTTTGAATGTATTGTTTGAGGTTGCCCTCTCATCTGGGCCAAAGGGAATAGAAGGTTGCAAGTCTCTTTCTCTTCCTCCTCTTCTGCTGTCTTTTCTCAGCCTTTCTGTCCTTTAGTATGCTTCCAAAAGCACTAAAATACCCCAAAGTGAAGGTTGAACAATTTGTTGCCTAGAATGCCTCCTGTTTGAAAATGGAGATCTAATAGGTTTGTTAGGTCAGAAGCTCTTTGTTTAGAGAATTTTTTCACTTGCCCCATTAAAAAAAAATATCAAAAGAAGTATTAACAATAAAATACAAACTCTGATGAAAAGCCTATCTTTCTTATCTCCATTAAGTATTTCTATTTCTGCTTCATTTTTTCCCAGGGGCCTCAGCTTAGCATCTTCAGCTCCAAATTATAGTCTGCCTTGAAATTTTTAAATGGAGTTACGTGTTCTTTCTAGTTTAAAATCATCACTCCTAAGTAGGTTGTAAATATCAGAGGTATCAGATGCTTTGTTTCTTCTCTTTTTACTTCGTTGATATCACTGTAACAAACTAGTAACATATCTGAGTATCACAGAATCATTTGATTTGGAAGGGACCACTGATGGCCATCTCATTCACCTCCCCTGAATGGAAGCACCTACACTAGATGCAGGTGCTCAGAGCCCTGAAACCTCTCCGCTTGACATTCTTATTCAGAATAAACTAACACGGCAAATAAGATCCTTTTCAATAGGAAATAAAACTAGAAGTGTACATTTCAAAACTCAAAGTGCAAGAAGAAATCTGAGATGATGAACAAGACCAAAACCAGGAACAGGTGGAAATGTAAAAAGAATAAAGGAAGCCTTTCATTTCAAATATGTATGCTGAGGAATGATTTATAGAACAAGATCACCTTCTTGTTGGAGTAGCACTGAAAATCTAGAGGAAAAACAAGGATCAGAAATAAAGAAGAAATAAGGAATATTTAGCCAGTTTGGAAATAGGCACCAGTGGCAAGGAAGAACTTCAGTTAACTAGAAACATCACAAAACAAGCAGAGTGGACATCTGGATTTGAAACACCGTTCTCCTGGAGAGGAAGGCAGGACTGACAACACTTCTAGCTTCCCCACTAAGGGAAGAAGGGTTCTATGATCATTCTGCTCATCCATCAGTCTGCCAGCATACCTTTATTAATTTGAACCTGTTGGCCAACTTCAAGGAGATTTGACAATACTAAGGTCAAAATCTGTGTAGCTCACAATCAGTCAGGTGTTGTGGCACCTCTTAGCTGCAAGAAAGGACCACTGGGTGTAGAAAACTGGAAGCAAAAGGTGCATAGGACCTTATAGAGGATGTAAAGATGAATGCCTAAAGTGGAACTGAAGCTTTGTTTAGCCCTGCAGTCCATCTTTGGCAGGGTCAACGCTTTGTGAGGTAACACTCCTAATGAGTATTAACCCATGGTTTAAGACTACATACAAGGGTCAAATGCTTATGGAACATCCTTCTTCTCTTCCTCACGTGCCTTCAAGTGATACAGTGATTACTCAGAATAGATATAGTCATGGCCAAATTGCATGAATATATAGGTCTGCTTAGGGACTCTTGAAGTGTAAGCTTTGACTTGTTTTTTTCCTTAGGCTCTCCAGGGAAATTACGTGATATAATCTGATCATCTGTTTTGCTTGCTTTTCCATCTCTTAAGCATCTACTTGCCTTACATTTTAAGCAATTTTTAGTCCTTGTGCTTCATCTCTCTCTGTTGCTCAAAAAATGCCTGTAACAATATATGTAGTATGTTGGACATTGGCAATGACAAGAAGTGGCCTTGAAGGAAAGGCTTCTAGACTTTCCAAGTTAGAAAATGCCCTTTGCCTGCAAGTTGAATACTAGTACTTGTTTTTTACTTAGACAAAGAGTTACAAAAAATATTGGGAAAAAAATAATAAGGGAATTAGTAACTTTATTTTGGAGACTTCAGAACAACACAGAAAGAAACTTTTGGGATTTTTCCTTCTGAAAATAAAGCTATAGTTTTGTAGCTAATAAAGTAATTCCTTTTGCTTCATGTTACACACTGTTTCTAGTCTTCAAAAGCTTTTAAATTGCACTGTTAACTGCAAGGGCAAAACAGTTACGCTTTAAGCTCCCTGTGTTCTCCCACCAATTTAGTAAAGCTGTATTGCATTGAAAAAAAAAGTGTGATTGACTTGGCTCTGCATTTTTCTTAGTTTTGCTAATAAAACAGATGATGTATTGGCAGGGTTTTGAATGGTACATCTTGTGCTGAGTACTGAATATTAGCAGAATGGCTGCACGTTGTTGGGGGCTATGGTTTTTCTGTTGCTTTGTATTTGTTTGGGTTTATTTTAGATTTGGTTTGGTTTTGATTGTCTTCTGTTTTGGAGCCACGTGAAGATATTCTTCTTTCATCTGGAAAATTCTGAGATCAGTAATAGTCAGAATAATCAATAATAATTGGAAAGATCAATCTGATTGGTGAGTAAATTGGCTAAATTCCACTGAAATTAAGGGAGTTATTCCAGACTACAGTACCAGGCAGTCTGTGATCAAAAGCATTTCTATTAAATGAGTGGATCTGCTGTTTCCAGTAGAAGAATATCAAAACTGTTCAAAAAATTAACTGTAAAATTAGCTATATATATATATATATTAAATGTCTTTTGGTCCAGTTGAGCTTGATTAGAGAGAAGAGCATGACTGAAAAATTATTTTTGGTTGCCAACAGCTGGCTCAGTGCTGAAGTGTGGCTAAAATAGAATAAAATGTGTTAATAGTTCATAGTTATATCCAAGAGATGTGCATTTATATAACTAAGGACACCACTTACCCAAGAGTGTGGTCAGACAAAGAAACTATTAAAAGTATAAACTGCAGTTGGTAAAATATTCATGAGCTTCTTTCTTCACTTGTTGTCTTCTCCAAATGGGGCTTTTTTTTAGCATCTTTTATCTGTTTTCTGTCAGGCACAGGTGTAGGAGTAATTAGAAAGGCCAGGCTTTTTCATGCTATTGTTTGTGAGTACTGAATAATGAGAAAGGACAGATGTTATGCATGGTGTAATGTGCTTCCTTAAGGCACCCGCTTAAAGATCGGCTAACATAGAAGGATATTTAACTTCAAATAATGCTTTGTGAGGGAAAAAAAAGCACTGTGTTGCAAATCTAATCCAAATCAGTCATGTAAGGGGAAGAGATTGCTCAATTCACGATGACACTGATTTCGCTGTGTAAAACCTAAAAACATCTTGCCGTCACTGTCTAATATAGGGCACTTGATGAGACTGAAATTCTGCTGCTAAAATCATCCAACTGTAAAAAAGCAAAGCAAAGCAAAACAACCAACCCTTGAAAAAGAGCATCCAGATTTTGTTATGCACCTTGCTTACAGCTCCTCAACTACATAACACTAACAGTTTTTGGCATGGGATGACGACTTAGGTTTGTCGCTGTTTTCTCCTGCTTACTGTGTTTTGTGGCTGTTTTCAGTACATTGTCTTCTGCCTTTCTCTGTTGTCGAGGAGGAAGAGAAAAGGAATGAGAAGTTCGTTAATGTAATACTGAGCTGCCGGGGTGTGGAGAGGTGGGGGTCGGCCTTTTCTCCCAGGGAGCAGTGATAGGATGAGAGGGAATGGCCTCAAGCTGAGCCAGGGGAGGTTCAGGTTGGATACAGGGAAAAGTCTATTCTCGGGAAGTGGCCATGCTTCCGAACGGGCTGCCAGAGGCGGCAGAGGTGTCCCAGCACAAGGCCCGCACCTCACGTGCCTCTGCAGAGGCCGAAGGCGGGCCGGGGGAGAAGCCGAGGAGCACGAGAGCTGCCTGGCACGACTGCCGACAGAAACGCACAGAATCAGTGAATTTCATTTCATTATATTGCAGGTGGCCATCAGGAGCCGCTTTGGCCGATGTGCCTGAGGGGGCGGCTATGACAAACCAGCCCTAAGGAAAGGCGGCAGGGGGAGCGGTAGGAGCAAGGCTTCCTGCCTCCGGGGAACACGAGGCGCCTCGCCGCCATTTCCGCTCCGAGCGGCGCGGCGGGCAGCGGCAGGGTGCCTGGGGCCGGATCACCGGCCGCACCTCCGCGCCCCGCCGTTGGCGCCCTCGTGACGGAGGGCGGGACTTTCCCGCTCCACCCACCTATCGGCCGCTTCCCCTACGCGACGCTACTTCCGGTCGCCTGGCCCGCCGCGCCCAATGGGAGGGAGGCAGCGGGGCGGGACGCCTCATCCTCACCGAGGCAACGGTCGGGCGGACGGTTCCGGGTGTGCGCGAGGCTGACGGCGTCGGCGGGTGAGTGCTGCGCGCCTGGGTCCGCCCTGCCCCGCCTTAGCCCGCCGATCCCCGCCTCCTGTCGGCCCGGCCTCTCCCGCCTGCCCGCTCTCCCCCGTCCCTTTCCTCGTTCCCCCGATCCTCCGCTGTTGGCGGCGGGGCGGTAACGGCCGCGCGGGCGGCTGCTCTCCGCGCGCCTCCGGCGGGGCGGGCTTCCCGGTGACGTCACCCCCGCGCGGCGGCCCCGCCCCTCTGCGCGTTGCCACGGCGACGGCGGGATGGCGGCGGGCCCGTGGCCCTCGGGTATCACCGGGCCAGGACCCGAGGCGACGGTCGTGCCGGGGTTCCTCGCTTCGTCCTTCCGGGAATTTTCCCCAATAAAAGTTTCTTTTGCCTGTTATTCGTGTGCTGCGCTTGGGTGGAAATAGTGCTAGCCGCTTATATGACTGCTGGCTCTGTGTTAACACGCAGTTTCTACCTCTTAATGTAACGGCATCACGCAGATGGATGCGGTGTATGGCTTCAGGGCAGCGAGTTGTGCAGGTCACGCATAAAACTCTTGTGTAAACGTTTTGGCTTTTGCTGGCATTGTAGTAGTGCTGCTTAGGATCTTCAGCATCAGCTGGGATCTTCGCTCTAAAGAGGTATCGGTTCCTAACCACTGGGTTAGGAACTAATTAATCTTGCTGGGTTTTAATAGGTTTTAATGTTAAACAAAAGGAGACCGTGGAGAGCAGCTTTTTCTCTGTTGTGGGCAAGCTTTGGATCAGCTAATCTCTAAAGTTGTCTGGGAAGTTGGCTAGGTTGAAGTTAAGTCTCTTCCCAGAAGCCTGCAGTTTGGGTTCAACTTGCATCACCTACTTTTTCAACTGAATTGGTTGTCTTAAGTTGCGTGAAGACTGCTGACTAGGGAAGAGAGAGAACTTAGAAGCCTTTCTTTTAGCAGACGTGTGCTCTTTCATTCCAACCTGTCTCCCAGAAATTCTTGCTGATGTTGGTTTACGTGAAATATGTCTGTTGGAAATCAGTATCCAACGTATGCATGTGATTTGGTTTTAGGATGACTCTACTCCAGAATTTCTTTTTGAATGGAAGCATGCTCTTTTCCAGTAGAAGATGTTGATCCTAATGTATGATCATGGAGAAGGGGATAAGCTCCGTAGAAGTGTTACCTTCCAAATCATCTCAGGTTACAGCTGTAAAAGTGGTGGTCAAAGAGCCCGAAACAAAGCAGACCCAAAGAGGGAAACGAGTGGGATTTGTGCTTGTTCATGCAGGTAAGGTGTAGAGGTATAACAGCTGGAACTGCAATAGTCTGTACACACACTAAAGATCAACTGAAGTATCATATTGGCTTTCGTCTATTAGTATGTTAATGAAGTGGCATGAACTTTGGATATAAATATATAAGTAGAGAGTTTGATTGCATTGACTGCAGAAACTAGTACTAAAAATGTGATTTTGGATGTTCTGAATGATGCATATCTATATCATTATGCATATTTGCTCTCTACAGAAAAGAAAATCCTTAAATTTGACAGTTAGTAGAGCTTATCTGGGTTGATAGTGAAAGATTTTCATATTCTATTTAAGAGTGAATTGAATTGATCGATATCTTGCTCTTTACTGTGTTATTTTACTGGTTTAAATTCCTTATTTTTTTTTACTGGTAGTGTTTAAACTAGTTTCATCAATTTCTTGTAGCTGGCTTTTAATAAAGGTGAGGAAATGAAGTTGAGATAAATACAAATAACGTAATACAATTTTTTTTTTAATAAAAAAAACAAAACAAAACAAAATGAAATCTAAAAATCAGTGTACTAAACTTGTCAGCTATTTTTCTGATAACGTATTTAGTCACATAGGAGCCTGATGAATTTGAAATAGGGGACAGTGACAAAAAGCAGCAGAGTGGTTGGATGCAGCAGGATAGAATAAGATGAAAAAAACCTGGTCTTTGTTTCATGAACCTCTCCTAGCTGTAGAGTACAGAGCTCTGAAAATGCAGTGCATACAGGAGAAAATGAACACAATGGTAACTGACCAACTTGTCATTCTGCAGGGAAAGGAAAAATGGAGTTTTCCTTAAAACCAAACCTTTTTTTTTTGCTGCACACTGATTTCAAATAAATAAAATAGCTGTGCTGGTCTCTAAGAATGCACTAATCTGTAATCTCTTGGAGAGTGTTCATAGGAGCAGATTATATGATTTAAATGTGTGTACTCGTGTGTGTGAGCTCAGTCCCCTGTATTTTATTGAGTCTACTTGAATGCATAATGTTGTCAGTTTCTAATATGAAAAAGGAGTGCCAACGTAATCCCGAGTAAGGATGTCTCTTCTCTGCCGGTGTCATAATTCTTGCTGCTGTTTGTAGCCAATAGTTTGATAAGAGGTATAATCTCTTTTCCTTTTCCCTAACTGTAGGTGCAGGTTATCATTCTGAATCCAAAGCTAAAGAATACAAGCATGTGTGCAAAAGAGCCTGCCAGAAGGTATGTCTTGCCAGCTCCGTAGTCCTGCAGTGGGCATGTAAGAAGTGTATTTGGGAGCTCTGTCTCTTTGGTATGAATAGACATACCTCTGTTTAGCTGCTGTGACTGAATGTATTTCTAGAGGAAAAAAAGGAGTAGCAACAGCTAACATGGCTACTATTCAGACTTGGTAGAGTGCATGGAGGTGCAGCAACATTGTCATTTGTGGTGGCAAATACCACACACCAAAGAAAAAGGAACTGGGGAACAGTTCGTAATTCACAGGGTGTTCATAAGAGTTTCCTGTGGCTCTGGGATTTCTGGAGTTGAATGTAGTGCCTGGATCTTTCTTCGTCAGTGTCCAGTCTTTTTGGAATTTATTTTGACTAGCATCCAAATTGCTCAATAAATACAAGAATTTATAGAATTGCTTTTTTTTGATGGCTCTTAACTTGTTAATGGGAGGGGAGGTAAGAAGGACAGAAAAAACAAAAAACAAATGACCAAAGAAACAAATTAAGTTTCCAAAGCTGTAAAAGAAGCAATGAGAAGATTTTAATTTCCATTGAAATATATATTTTAATCTCTTCTTAGAACTTAGCTTTGGAGTTGGCAGCTTCTATGTGCTAGGAGCTGAATGAGAAGCTGGAAGACTTATCTCCAAAACTTCTAATGCCTTTTTCTTTCTCCAGAGAGAGCATGCTGGGGCGTCTGGCAGGCCTTTCAGAAGTGCTTCTCAGACTTGGAGTCTAATAATTATTAACACTTCATCTTGCAGTTCTGTGTCTCAATCCTAATACCAATGTAATTTTGTAATGAGAAACTTGAAGAATCATCCAAACTTAACATCAGCTTCCTTAAAATTGTGCACTAGCCCTGATGATACTAATTTTCCAGCTAATTATGTGTGAGATGAGGTTGTTTGCTGTTGAATGCAAGTCTAATTGGAGATTCTGTTTGGTTCCTTAAGTTCAGTAGCCAACATTAATTACTTGTATGAAGAGCAAACAGTCGCAGGTTTGTTTTTCTTCTAAAGATGCAGCCACAGTTGTTGTCAGGTGGTTCCCTGAGATAACTTGAATGTAAGGTCTTACCAATCTGGATCTGGGAAACAATACTGTGTATATATATAATATATATATACACAGTATTTTATATATATATATATATATATATATATATATATACACATTATATATATATATATGTATATATATATATATATATATACATATTATATATATAATATATATATATACACAGTATTATATATATATATATACTGTGTGTATATATATATATACACAGTATTGTTTCCCAGATATATATATATATATATACACATACTATATATAAATAATACATACATACTATAATATAAAAAATAGGCTCTAGAATTATTTGTGTGTGTGTTTGAATGTGGATGCACGTATATAATCTGGAGATAACACTCTCTTATATGATTTGTTTCATGCGTCGGCTTCTAGGTGAGGTTGATAATGTTCAATTTCTTGACAGTTGCCATATATAGTATTAGAGACTGTTGTTGAATCTTGGAAGGAAAATTAGGAACTCTCTGACTGAATCATGTTTAAGGATGCAGTTATAAGAACATATTTTGCTACAGATTTGATCCTGCAAAAATCTGTTACTAAATGCAGCGTTGGAATATCTGATTTTTAAAAAGGCATCAGATCTATCCTCATGTGGAACATGCCAGCTTGTTTTTATGTCCTCTTAGATCTAATCCTAATTTAATGAATATTCTCTTTCTACAGATCTAGGAAAACATAGGACTTAGCTGCAGAATATTAGAATTTCCTAATAATCAATAGAAAATTCTGTTTTACAGGCTATCGAAAAGCTACAGGCTGGTGCTCTTGCAACAGATGCAGTGACTGCAGCACTTATAGAACTGGAGGTACGAATTTCTGACTTTAGTGAAGGGTCCCTTATGAAGGAAAATGGGAGTTAAGCTAAAAGAATTTCTGAGATGTAAATGGGGAAGCTTAGTAACAGGCTTGTTCCAGGTCTGCTAATCTCACATGGCAGTAATGACTGAAAAAGCAATTCTTTTTCAACTGTTAGCAGTCATTTTTCCTCTCCAACTTTACTAGTAAAGAAGGAAGGCAAAGTAAACATTGTGCTGTAAAAATGTGGTGTTGAAATTTATCGGCATATTCTCAGAAGATTAGCAGTGGATTTGCTTACACATGTTTGGAAAGTGTTAATTAATGTACTTGATAGGGTTAGCTTAAGGCAGGCAGTATGTGCTTTAGTATGTGGTAGGCGTGCTGACTAGGTGCCAAAACTTCAGTCATACTTTTAACTTGGCGAGCTTCTTGGCTTTAAACAGTAATTGTGGTCTCCACTGAACTGTTCAAAAATGCTTTCATGTGCTATCTTAAACATTAAAGTAGATCTAGATGAGAGAAAAATATATCTCTGTGTATATCTATGCGTTATAGAAACATAGAATCATAGAATCATTAGAGTTGGAGGGAGCCTTTAAATGTCATCTAGTCCTGCAATGAACAGGGACACCACAGCTAGGTCAGGTTGCCCAGGGCCCAATCCAGCCTCGCCTTGAAAATCACCAGGGATGGGGCATCAACCACATCTCCAGGCAGCCTGTTCCACTGCCTCACCACCCTCACTGTAAAAGACCTTTTCCTTATATCCAACCGAAATCTACCCTCTTGAAGCCATTTCCCCTTGTTCTGTCACCACAGGCCATGCTGATGAGTCTGTCCCCTCCTTTCCTGTAGCTCCCCTTTAGATACTGAAAGGCCGTTCTCAGGTCACCTTGGAGCTTTCTCTTCTCCAGGCTGACCAGCCCCAACTCTCTCAGCCTGTCCTTGTAGGAGAGGTGTTCCATCTGTTGAATCATTTTTGGGGCCCTCCTCTGGATGTGCTTCTGCAGGTCCACGTCTCTCATGCTGAGGACTGGACATCTGTATGCAATAATCCAGGTGAATTCTCACCAGTACAGAGTAGAGGGACAGGATCACCTCTCTTGGCCTGCTGGCCACCCTTCTTTTGATACAGCCTAGGGTACAGTTGGCTTTCTGGGATGTGAGGGCACATTGCTGGCTAATGTCCAGCTTGTCAGTACCCCCAGCTCTTTACCGGCAGGGCTGCACTCAATCCTTTCATCCTCCAGCTAGTATTGGTAGTGAGGATTGCTTTGACCCAGGTGCAAGATTTTGCATTTGGATTTGTTGAACCTCATGAGGTTCTCCTGGCCCTCTGCTTGAGCCTCTGTAGGTGCCGTCTGGATGGCATCCTGTCCATCTGGTGTGTTGACCGCACCCCACAGCTTGGTGTCATCAGTGAACTTGCTGAGGGTGCACTTGACCCCACTGTCAGTATCATCGATGATGTTAAGGAGTATTGGTCCCCTGTGAGGCGCCCCTTGTCACCAGTCTCCATCCAGACATTGAGCCGTTGTCCACCACTCTATGGACTTGATCCTGCAGCAGTTCTTCGTTCATTGAACAGTCCACCCATCAAATCCATATCTTTCCAATCTAGAGAGAAGGATGTTGTGGGGTATCGTGTCAAAGGCCTTACTGAGCTCCAATAGATGACATCAGTGGCTCTTCCCTTGTCCATTGGCGCAGTGACGCCATCATCCAAAGCCACTAGGTTGGTCAAGCAGGATTTGCCCTTGGTGAAACTATGCTGGTTCTTCTATCTCTCCATATCTTCCGTGTGCCGTAGCATAGCTTCCACAATCTTTTCTGGCACAAGAGATGAGACAGATAGGATGGTAGTTCCCAAGGTCATCTTTATTACTCTTCTTAATAATGGATATGATGTTGCCTTTTTTCCAGTCACCAGACGCTTCACCTGATTACCATGCCTTTTCAAGTATCATTTGGTGTGGCTTGGCAACTACATCAGCTAATTCCCTCAGCACTCTGGGATGCATTTCCTCGGGACCCATGGATTTGTGAATGTTCAGTTTCCTCAGGTGGTCACAAACCTGATCTTCTCTTAAAGTGGGAGGAACATTGTTTCCTTAGTCCCTCCTACCAAACATTTGAGAGCTGTGTGACAAGAAGTTATCAGAGAAGATGACTGAGAAGAAAGGTTTTTAAGTATCTCAGTCTTCTTGTCTGTTGTTAGCAGCCTGCCTTCATAAGTCACTAGGGGGAGTATGCCCTCCTGGACTTTCCGTTTCTGGGTGAAGTACCTGTAGAAGCCTTTCTTGTTCTTCTTGGCATCCCTTGCCAGGCTTAGTTCAAACCTTGACATTCCTGACCCCGTCCTTACGCAGCCCAGCAGCTTTTTTATACTCTTCCTACAGTACCTGCCCCTTTTTCTACTGCTTGTATGTTTTCTTCTTGCTCACCAGTTTGACCAGCAGGTCCTGGTTCAGCCATGCCAATCTCCTGCCTTCCTTTCCTGACTTGCTGCACCTGGGGATGGAGAGCTCCTGCGCACTGAGGAAAGCTTCCTTAAAAATCTGCCAGCTTTCCTACACATCTTTGCCCATGAGAACAGTTTCCCATGGTGTTTTGTTGACCCACTTTCTGAAGAGCTGGAAGTCAACTTTACTAGAATATAATGTCCTAATTTTCACTCTGGAGCATGAACTCAACCATAGCATGGTTACTACCAGCCTCCAATCCTGATGTGTGAGTCAGTTCACTTGCATCGGTGAGCAACAGGTCCAGTACTGCATCCCCTCTGGTGAGAACTTCTTTTACTTGACTCAGGAAGTTATCCTCAATGCATTTCAGGAGCCTCTTGGATTGCCTACAGCTCACCCTGCTACTTTTCCAGCGGATGTCTGGGTGATTAAGGCCCCCAGCAGGATGAGTGCTTGCAATCGCAACGCCTTCTGTATCTGGAGGTATAAGGCCTCACTGACAGGCTCCACTTGATCGGGTGGCCTGTAGCAGGGCTCCCTTTGCTGCCTCAGGCTTTAAATGTCACCCATAGGCTTTCGACTTGCTCATGAAAATCAATCTTATAAATCGCATACATGAATAAGCTAACAGAATCTGCTCTTGTTCTGCAAGATTCTTTTGTGATGAGGCTCCCACCTCTGTGGAAAACATTTTCTCTTTTGTGCTGTAGTTTTTATCATATTCCTGAGCTACATAAAAGAAAACACATTTTAAGAAACTTGGCTGAACAGCTGTACGTCTCCTTTCAGCTGTGCCTAGGGTAAATTATTTTCTGGTTTTGCTTTCCCCCGAGAGAACCTTCTTTTGCTGTAGTATATTGAAATATTCTGAAGTGACATCTGTATGATGTTATGGCTGTAAGATGAAATTAAAGCATATTTAGAGAATTAATCTGATCGGCAAACTTTTTCTCCTTTTCAGTCTTGCCTGCTATTCTGGTGATGCCTGCCATCATTCTACCGTCTGTTTTTATAATTGTCCTAGGTGGTATTTGGTTGATATAGAACACAGTACAGTGAATTTATCTGAAATATTTAATCACTTTTACATTTTGTTAGAATTTTTAATGCTATATTCCAAAACTCTGTAGCCTTTGAAAGACACACGCATCTTTTCATGGAAATACTGAAAAAGATGATTTTTTTCCCTCAGTTCCGCTCAATTACACAACTCCTATTACACAGAATTTCATCTAATCCAAGAGGCATCACTTCAAAGACTTAGAGAGGCGCAAGACTTGCTCTTGATCTTTTATGAGCAAGCTGACAGTTTACTTGCGGTATGCTGTCTGTTTTTTGTTTTATTTTTGCAGGCTCCAAATGTAGAGTGAGCAGCCTTTCTTTGTTGGACTTTATGAATCTCAAGTGAAATAGGGAATAGATGAAGGTATAATTAATGCTAATAGTTGTTAGAGCAAAAAGTAGATTACTTGTGCAAAGCAACTTGAATGCCTGACCCAGAATACTGTTAAAATAATGGTGCTGGTTTGCATGAGCATCAGCTGTATTTCGTAAGTTGAATAAAAGCAGTTATGTTTTCTAGTTTGTGAACTCTGTCAATGCAGAGAAATAAATGAACATGTTTCTTCTTTCAGCTTTTGATAATCAAATAGTTCTGGACAAGGTGCTTCATAAGGCTCATCATTTACACTGTCTGCTTGATCTCAGAGCTGTATTCACGATCCCAGAACCGTTTGTTTTTATGCTTTTGCTGTCTGCCACCATATGAAGTCTGAATTCCTCTCGAAACATAAAGGGATTTGGGCAGATATTTCTTTTCTTTTAAAAGCTGCAGTTTACAACAGAACCACATGCTGATTGAATTTACAGCTGGCTAGAGGAACAATGTGCAGTTTCAAGCTTTTCTTTGAGTGCGGAGCACTTCAGAGGTTCTAATGTTCAGGTATTGGAAGCAAGAACAAAGTTTGTTGTAGATGAAAATTTTCAACTTTCTCTTAGTGCAGCCTAAGTTTATTCATACTGTGTGTTCATTGCTTGGCTCTTCCATCTGTCTTCTGTGGAACATTCTTTGTGAGTATCATTTAAATTGGGGATCGATGTGATTATGGAAAGTGGTTATCGCATTTTGAGTTTGGGTATCCTTGCTCATAAAGTTGCTCTATTTGCATTTTTTGTTATGTCTCAGTCAAAGGAATGGAAAGCAAAATTTGCAATGAGATAATTTGTCTCTCGTTTGTTGTTTTTTTAATATTAATTTTAGAGTAAATAAGATTTCAAAATATGGAATCTTAATCCCAAGTGTATGCATTTGAAGCTGAAAGCACAAGGGCAGCAGCATTGTTGTAGTAAGGCAGTCACCATAGATGAACTTCAAATGAATGTTGAACTGGAAGTTGTTAATTCTAGTTAAAGACTTTGCTGTTTGATGTTTTGCAGCAGAGTGACTAACGGTAGATTACGACAAAAGTGTTCTTGAAAAACATTTTAACTGGTTTGATTAAAAGAGACCTGACTCACCCTAGTAGACTGTTACTTCTTGTTACTGAATTCCCACAGAAGAATTTTATAATAACAGTGTGTAGAAAGAAATGCCAGTAGGCTTTGAAATCCTTTTAGAAGTTGCAAATAAACCTTGACCAAAACTGTATCAAAGATGGATGGGATGCTCTTTAATGCATGTCAAAAACAGAGCAGTTTAACTATTTGTCTAGATGTAATTCTGGATTATTCGTATTGAGCAACTTTTTCAAGCTTTCCCCATTAACCACAGCTTTAGTACGCCTGTATTGCTGCCAGAACATTTTAAAATACATCTTGAAGGAAGAAGGGTTCTGAGTTGAAAACGATATCCTCAGTAGCGCTTAAGAGTTTTTATGAGATGAACTCGCATTTGAAAATGAAATTCTTGTTCCATGTCTTGATGCTTTGTATCGTCTCCTTACTACAGTTTTAGGTTGTAAGCTTGAGATACCTAAGTGATGGTGTAACTGCTGTAGTCTGGAGTTAGCAGTCGGCTAAACCTGCTGCTGCTTTGTGGTCTGCCACCTTTCCAAGGTCGGCATCTTGGCACGTGGGCAGCACGCGTCTGCACAAAGGTGTAATGTTAAATCCAACATGCAGCACTTCTTATTTGAGAAACTTGGATCAGTAAGAGCTACAGGCAGAGCTAATAAAAGGTGGCTTACTTTTTAACTAGGCACTTACTAAAAGTTGCTTGGTACTCTATGGGAAGTATGATTTGTTGTTTGAAAAACCTTCGTACCATGGTAACGATGGTGCTTATGTTAGTGTTTAAATAGAAATTTTGCACAGTGAAGCCTTGTTCATCTCATTTCCCCTCACTGCAACAAAGACATCGAGGCCCTGGAGTGGGTTCAGAGAAGGGCGACAAAGCCAGTGAGGGGTCTGGAGCACAGGCCTTATGAGGAGTGGCTGAAGGAGCTGGGACTGTTCAGTCTGGAGTAGAGGAGGCTCAGGGGAGACCTCATTGCTCTCTGTAATATGTGAAGGGAGGTTGTAGTGAGCTGGGAGTCAGCCTCTTCTCCAGCGTAACTGGTGATAGGACTAGAGGGAATGGCTTCAAGCTGTGCCAGGGGAGATTCAGGCTGGATGTTAGGAAATACTACTTGTCTGAAAGAGTGGTCAGGTGCTGGAATGAGCTGCCCAGGGAGGTGATGGAGTTCAAGGAATGTTTGGATTTTGTGTTGAGGGAAGTGGCTTAGTGAGAGCTATTGGTGATAGGTGGATGGCTGGACTGGATGATCTTGAAGGTCTTTTCCAACCTTGGTGATTCTGTGTGCAAGGCTGTAATCATAGGCTTATGATTTTAACAAAACATACGGTTCTGTTTGCTCCTGTGTCATACTTGAGAGTGTCAGAGGTAAACTGTGGTCTCTGTGGAAGAGATATTTGCTCGTTTTGTAAGGCTTTTACTTACAAATAAGTGATTATCTGAAATCATTGTGTGATTGTGATTTATATTAGCACATTATTACTCTTGAGATGTATCACACAGAAGGTTTCCATCGTAGTAATTTAAAATAAACATAGCAAATTGCTCTTTTCTGATGTTGCTGTGGCATATTTAAAGTACTGCAGCAAGAATGTACACTGTAACACATCACTGTCATCATATTAATTATGCAGAGGTTTTGATAAAATTTGATCTGATTGTGGCCTCACGGTGCTTTGTTTATATTTTCAGGATTCTCCTTTTACAAATGCAGGAATGGGTTCTAACTTAAACCTTCTGGGTGAGATAGAATGTGATGCCAGCATAATGGATGGGAAGTCATTGAATTTTGGAGCAGTTGGCGCACTGAGCGGTATGTTAACTATGTGTTATAAAGCTAGCTACTGATTGAAGTGCAAAGACTAATTTTGTTCTTTTTTGTGAAGTTTTTGGAGGGAATGCCATTGTAGCCCCACTTCATGAATTCTTCCCTCTGTAAACAAACAAAAGGGAGAGGGAGGCATCCTCCCGTCCTGAAATACTGCTTAGTGATGTTGCAGTGCACTGTTTTAGTTCACTGGTAGTCCTTTGCAGAATGATGAATTTGCATGATGAAGAATTCATTCACTCAGGGGGTGTGAGTTTTCTCAGAGGGCTTTGAAGAATTGTAAGCTTATAGTAAGATGCATATATATAAAATACAAGCATTCAGATGACAGTATTTGTTTTTGTTACCAGGCTCCTTGAAGAATTTACTGTTACATAATTCAGTCATAGAATCTCTTAGCTTAATTGGTCAAATTGAAGTACTGAAGAACTAAGGTTTCCTTTGCAGTGTTACAAAGGTGCACAGCCTCTAAACTAGGGCTGCTTTTTATTCTTGCAGCTTCTGATCTGTCAAGCTGTTTGCCCCGACATAAAATTCCTCTGTAGTATAGTTTTTTTCATTATAATCCTCTCATGGGATCAATAACATTTGGATTTCTAATTTGTTAAACTATTACAAGGCTACATGAGCATGCATATAGCACTTATTTAATCTGAGAATTAATGTGCCTTTCTTTTTTTTTTTTTCTTTTGCCAAGCTTTACCTTTCAGTACAAAACAGTCCAAAGCAGGGATCCTTGAACTTCTGTCATAAGTACTTGAGAGCCTTAACTGTTACTCTGGAATACTATTGAATAGCTTTTCTGAAAACGTTTCAACCTTTGTTCTTTATCCTAGGATAGTTCTAAACTGTGTTAATAACTTCCTCATGTAGATATAGATCTAAAATAAATAGTAAAATTAAGTGTTTCAAGGCTTACTTGTTACGAAATGTATCCTTCCAACCATGGAGAAGGAGGAAATGAGGGAGTGAGAAAAAGCTAAGCCTGAATCCTATAATCCCTGTTCTGGCCAGATAGATCCAAACAAAGCTTTTTCCATCTTGAAAAATTAATACTCATAAAACATCTTTGGTCTGTAGAACACCACTGCTTTAATTCTGAGATTTCTGTGGTAGGGAGTCACTCCTAATATTTCAATACCCTTCTTTCTTTAAAAAACAAAACCAAATGTTGATTAGAAAGTCTTGCTACCACTGATAGGCCACGAGAAGGAACAACTGATTTAACGTTATTAAGCTGAAAAATAGCATCGCAATGTGTCTCTTACTGAATTACTGAAGCACTGGAAATGAAAGGAAGCTGACTTCCATTGCCAAAATGAACCCCACAGTACTGCGTGGAAAATATTTTAATGGTTTGTTCCCGTTTTTTGCTGATTTTTCAGGAATCAAGAATCCAGTTTCAGTTGCAAATAGATTGTTGTGTGAAGGGCAGAAAGGAAAACTCTCTGCTGGCAGAATTCCACCTTGGTAATTGCTTTGTTCTGCTTGACTTTACTTTAGTCTTATATCTGTACTGCATGCAATATTTGAAGGCTTTGTCTTATCCAACGGAGGTTTGTGCTGTTTTACATTACATCCTTTTGAAAAGAAGCAACGTTTTCTTCTCAGATCTTGAAACTCAGTGTGCCTTCGATGCAGCTGTGAGTAGAACTGTTGTGGATAGATAGAGATATCACCTTGTGGGGTTTTGTGTCAAGCTGACTGCTTCTAAAGTTATGTCATGCCGAATGAATGATTAATGTTAATAAATATCTAAAGGGAGGAAGGATGCAGATGGATGAGGTCAGGTTCTTCTTGGCAGTATATGGCGATAGGACAAGGAGCAGTGACCTAAAACTTGGACACGGGAAGTTCCGTACAAACATGCAGAAGAACTTGTTTGTAATAAGGGTGGCAGAGCACTGGAATGGTTGCCCAGAGAGGTTGTGGAGTCTCCATCTGTGGAGATATTCAAGGCATGGCTGGATGCCTCCTGTGCGACCTGTTGGAGGGTACCTGCTTTAGCAGGAGGGTTGGACTTGAGGATCTCTTGAGTTCCCTTCCAACCCTGCAATTCTGTGATTCTGTGTGAATCCTTAAGTTTTTGTTATATCGTTTTGAAAAATCTCTAAATGCAGCAAAATTAAAATAAATACATAAACTAAACTGGCTTTGTGCCTTTATTTTGAAACTAAATTGTGGAAATACGCAGTGTTTAGTTAAAAACTATTTTAAATATAAACTTGTTAGCATGTATGACAACACTGAAAATGTGCTTTATTGAGACTGATGTAAGTTTGAAAGAGGAAACTGTTAAATGCATAAGAACTTTAAATATTGTTGTATCAGATTTGGAAAGTGTCCAAGTGTCCAAGAACTGTGTTGGAACTGACTAATCTTGGAAGCATCTTATTTTTGTTAGCAGTTCAAATCAACCAGCAGGAAGCTTGAACTTAAGCCGTTGCCGCAGTTATACCTATTGGGGAAATTTGCTGCTGTTTGCTGAGAGATTGCAGTATTTGCAGATGTATTAAGTCAGCACTTACGTTGTTTGAAATATGTATATTTGATTTAGAAATTTTACTGTTCATACTTCTTTCTGTAGAAGTGTCCCCATAGTCAGTCTACATCTGGATAGTCTGGTATTCCAGTTTATACACTGAGGAAAAGAATTATTGCAGTGTCCATAATACTGCAAAGGTAGGTCATAGAGTGAAAAAAGTACCCCAAAACCAACACACCAACAAGCAGATTTTGCATTTTTGTTTTCTTTATTAAAGGAAGAGGAATCATAGTTAGTGAGAACTTCTTTTTCAGAGAAGTTTACCAAGGGATATGAACTTAAATATTAGTTGCTGCCAGTGGCTTATTTCTTCAGATATCTGGAAAAAGCTAGGGCTTATCCAGTTACATTAAAGAGGGTGTCAAAGGAGGTTGTTGTGGTTTTGGTTCTGTTTGCTTCCCTCCCTTCCCTACTTCCCTCCCCTTCTCTTCCTTTCCTTTCATTCGTGTTCCAGAACTAGAAGCAAGCATTTGTGTTTTACTTTTGTCTGTAATTGTGGCAGGGAAGAGCACCTAGGATAGTTGTGTCCTATTTTAGCGTGTTTTCTGTAACTTCATGACCTAGTTTATGTTTGTAGCTATTATTTTTAAAATAACTGAATGAAACATAAACTGTATCCCCTCATCTCAAAGGACGAGACAAAATCTTTCAAACACTGTTTTAGCACCGTCTTGGCTAACAGGCGCTTCATAAGACAAGGGAGTTAAAGCTCTCTAAGTGTGAAGTGAACTGTTGACTTCAGAGCCAACGTTTTGGGCCTTATTTACCCTATATGTATTTTCATTTCTTCTCTGTTTTGAATTTGGAACATGTATCTTAGTAGAAAAAAAGGTAGCTAGCTTGGAAACAATCTGTAGCACTGTAATGCTTTAATAGATGCTCCTGTATGTTCAGGGCATCGCAAGTTTGGAATGGATCTTATGTTCATTGTAGGTGATGATTGTTGACAATTTCATGCCTTGCCTTTTTGGCAGGGTTTGGTGTAACATATTTTTGATCTGGGAGTGAAATACATTGCTGCGCAAGCTGAAAAAATATGTCATCAAGTAGCAAGAAACAGCTGCATTATTGTCATTCCTCCCAAGAGTTAGGGTTTTAATAACTGATTTTTATTTGTAAAGATGTGGAAGTTTCATCTTTTTTTTCATGGGCAAATACTGTGGTGGGGAGTCTTTTAAAGAAACTGCAAAGCCTAAGAATCCATCTTGCTAATTAAACCTGTTGGTATAGACAGCTTCTGTAGCACCATCTAACTTAGCTTAATGTTTTCTCACCAGAATGTTTGGCACGGGACCACGTGAGAGAAATTCTCTGACTGTGAGATTAGTGACAGTGGCACTGTGGAGAGTCTTGTCTGCTAAAAGAACAGCTGGAGACAGTTAGTTTGGCCTGCTTACCACCATTCAGCACCCATTTGTATAGGGACAATTCAAAATGGTACTTCTCTGATTTTCAGTAATTTTAGTGAGTGTGAACGAGTTTATTCTGAGATGGTAGGTTCATTGGGAAGGAGTCACCAGGTGTCCTGATTGCTATATGTATGTAGTTTACTGTGAATTGCTCTGTAGTGTGGGTTATTCTGGAACAGTATCTCCTCTTCTGGTTTAAAACACAGTCCTACTGTGCAAATTAAAATTCAAACATAGAGAATTCCCACACATAAGCATGCATTTGTTGAAGCTGTTCTAAGGTCCTGGAACCTTCTCTCACAGTTTATTCAGACTGACGCTGTCAGGATGTTCTCTACCTCTGTATGAAGGAGTAGAAAATACCAAACTCTTCAGTGTTACATGTTATCCTGTAAGGCATTCTTGATCATTGTATGACTTAGAACACAATTACAGTTGCTTGGTTACGTATTGGGTGGATCATTGGGAGTGGTCTTTGGTCCCAGAATAATGGATTAGTTGCTTTCTAGTAACAGCTTTAAAGTTTTCTTCTATTTCATATGTTTCTTAAAGGCAGAAAAGCTTATTTAGAACTGCTTGCTCATACTTCAGCTATGTAAGAATTGCAAGATGGTACAAATAGACCTAACCATCTTACTTTTTTAGAACTCCTTGATACTATTGATTTCAAAGTACATGTTAGTGTCCCTTTTTTCAGTATTAATATTAATCTTTACGAGAAAGAATCCCATGTTCTCCCCCTTTGGTTACTGCAGCATTTTGCAATCATTTTATTCTCGTCACATGTAGTGCCACAGATGGGATATGTGTAACTTGCAGGATATGAGTAACTTGCAGGGAGGAGCATAGTCAAGAAAGTGCCAGGGTTGAAGACTTGTACCAATTTTTATCTCTGATCTGTATCTTCTGTGTAAGAGTGATTTCAGAGTGATAGCTGCATTTTAGAATAAACATTACAAAATGAGTTTGTTATGTTTAGGATCACCTTCATCTTTAGTAAACCTAACTTTCTACTGTTGCTTCTATTCAGCTCAGTGTAGCTTGTCTTCATACAGCCCATATTAAGGGCTGCTCTTTACATCAAATAGGCATCAGGATAACCACGTTCTTGTGAAAACTTGCTTAGAAGGGCCATTTTTAGAGTAATTTTCTATTTTCAATTAATTTGCTCTGCTTTTCCTGTATTTAGAAAGCAGATCTGAACACCACCTTCTTGTTGGGGAGAACTTTTTCAACTTCTTTGTGTTTTGAGCTTGTAACAACTACAGAGTACTCATCTTTCTTACAGATGGATGAAATGAACTTTTATCTCGTTTGTGTAGAACCAACTTTCAGAGCAGCAAAGCCATTCATCTTTTTGATTGTTTTTTCCTTTGGAAAATTGTATTTTGAACTGGTCTAAAAGCTTTTGAGACTTGGTGGGGCTTTGGCTGCTTTGTATAGCCCACTGAATTTATTCTCGATTTTTCCTCTCCCCCAACTAATCAAGCTTGGTTGTTTTAAGTTTTATGAACTTGGCTGTTAAGTTTTATTTTTATGCCAGCTGTGAGTATTACCCGTTCATTCTTGCCTGCTGCAGTTCTTCTCCATGTTACATGGACATTTCCCATGGGCCTGCAGTAGTTCCCTAGTGCATGACTGCTGGTTCCCACCCTCACACCATCCTACCATCTGTGTCTGTTACAATTATTTGTGTTGCTTGTTTGGGTAATACAAAGATTGCTTAATCTTGTTCTGATTATAAATACTTGGCTACTTGGTGGATCTGAGTTCACACCGTATGTCCCATAGGATTCTCTTACCAAATGTCTCCATCAGTTTGGAGGATAGGGTACAGGTGGTACAGGTAACAACTACTGAGGTCTTGATTTTTTTATTATTCTAACTCTCTTGTGATTATGTTGTATTTTCAAGACATCTGAAATTGAATGATTAAAATAAAATTTAAAAAAAAGAGTGGGTGATTTCTGTGGTGAAAGGAGGCCTCAGTGAGATATCAGCAAGTGTTTGCTTCTCTAATGTAGCTATTCATTGGGATCAGAACTGGAAAGTATTTTGTGTCCACCTGGTATGAGGGAAATGAATCTGGGAATTATGGACACAAGTGTGAGCAGAATAAGAGTCACGTTACTTAAATGTTGGTGCATCTTCAACATTCTGGGGTGCTTCTTTTTGTACTCGGAATACTTGTGACTATTTATACATCTCTGAGTGTAAAACAAGCAATCGTGAGGTTTCAGGAAAATGAAAGGTTTCTGACTGATTTGTGCTATTTAAGCTATCATATATTAGACCCACAATATCTGATTGTAGTACTGGAGCACATCCAGTGGAGGGCCCCAAAAATGATCCCACAGATGGAACACCTCTCCTACAAGGACAGGCTGAGAGAGTTGGGGCTGGTCAGCCTGGAGAAGAGAAGGCTCCAAGGTGACCTGAGAACGGCCTTTCAGTATCTAAAGGGGAGCTACAGGAGAGGAGGGGACAGACTCATCAGCATGGTCTGTGGTGACAGA